TTCTATTGTTATATTTTACTAGGCTTTTTTAAAAATTAAACAAACATTCTTTTTTTTTGGTCACAAACCCGTAAACAGTCCCTCCTTCACATGGGCCTCTATCTTAGGAAAGATCTGCCGTAATAGTCACAATTAACAGATAGTTCGGCGATCACAGTGCCAGACGTCTTGTATCTTTGACGTTACTACTTCTCGCCGGTTTAAATAGATATTCGTATTTTACCTCCTGAAATTTATGAGATACCTGCTTACAACGCGATTTATGATTTATTTCTTGAAATCTTAGCATTTTTTTCACTTCACGTTCGGAATTTTGATTCGGTATTCCGAATGCTGCAAGTCCATATAAATTTAAGGATCCACCACACACGTACGGTAATTTTCCGTACGGAATTTTCTTAGATTCGAGATTCCGTATGACCGCCTGGTCGTTTGGAATCCCGCACGAAAAAGTCGCTCCGAACGCAAGTCTTCTATTATCCGTACGGAATTTTCAGTGATTCGAGATTCCGTATGACCGCCTGGTCGTTTGGAGTCCCGCACGGAAAAGCCGCACTGAACGCAAGTCTTCCATAGATTTTGTATGAGTCGCAACACACATTCGTAAATTCCGTACAGAACGCGCCCAGTGTGTTGCAATACCGACCGAATAGATGATGACCGAGAGAGATAGAGGATTATATTTTTCATCATAAAGAATACTTGTTGTATTCCGCATAGCGAAAGCAAGCGTATTAATTTTATATTACATAGTTTTCCAAAGATTGATATAGTACTCAAGTGGGTGAAAAATATTAATTGTGCAGCTCAGTTCAGAGGAGCTACAAAGTTCTTTGTGTGTCATAAGCACATTATTTTTTTAAGGAGCTGTATGTAGCAAAAATAGAGTAGAGAAAAAAATATAGTTCTGGATAGGCTCGTAATTTGGCTTCTTTTACATAATAATGGATATCTTGAAATCTGAGGATGTTAAAGGGTGCACTCAATAACGGCGGCTATATGTTTTTTTCTTAGCTAGATACAACTACATTTACGTGAAAAAATATAATAAGCAATAAAGAATATCTAAATGTGATGAGATTAAGATGTTTATTTATGAGACTGTAAACATGCAGAAAAATTATTTAAGTGATGGTGAGTGATTTTCTTCTTAGCCGCTCTTACAGCAACAATGCAATCGCAATATCGTCGTTCATATTCGCTGGCTGAATATATGCTGAATGTACTCAGTGGCTAGCATCTCTCAATTGAGCCTTGTTATACCGAACGGAAAATAATCGTTTGTGTATGAATGTACGGAATCCCGAATCGAAATTCCGTTCCGTATGTATATGGCCGGCCTTATGTTGCTACTATACAGCAAATTGGAATAATTGGTTATTTTCGCTTTCTTTGTAAATAACTTAGTACGCAAGTAAACTAGGCTTCGATCGCCGCCGGCACTAATGAAAATGTTAATTACAGTTTTAAGTGCTGATTTACCACGGGCTTGACATCGTAAACGGCATGTTTGAGAAATTAAAAAAAATATTTCAAAGACGGGTGAAGTCCGCCAACACGCGTTTGGAGCAGCGCGATGGTGAATATTTTCTTGCCCTGAAAACCATAGGAATAAGAGGAGCTCTGTGCCCAGGAACTGGATACATATAGGCTGTAATTTTACTTTACTATGGTTACTTTTACAAATATTTTACATTGCATTATACACTGGTTATTGTAAAGAAAGGAACGGCACATCCGGCAATAGGGCTTTCAGTTTAATAAAACTCAAAATAGAAACAATACTAATTTTAAAATAACGATGTTAAAAAATAAGGTCTATATTGTTTACAAAACAAACAACATGCTAATACTGTTATTTTAGTTGCGAACTCAGGTGGTGCTTTCGAGTTTTCGATGCATGAAGGTCAGATCATGATATACACACTCGCAGTATATTAACAGTACCGTAAATTTTCATGCGGCCAGCAAGCGCGTTGAATTAAAACGAAAAAAATGATCTACGAAAATAAAAAAAATTATGTTCACAAAATAATCTATTCTATTCATACACGTGAAGAGAAAACTTAGTACCCCTTTTTAAGCAGTTTGTGCGCACGTAGGAGTGTGAGATTTGGCATAGTAATAAGTTTGTATGGGGAAGGGGTCTGGAAAGCTAAAACTTACTGATATTATGTGTAAGAAATGCATCAAAATAAGTAAAGTAAAACATTCATTGTTTACACTTAGGGACTTTAAAAGACGGATACGACTTAGGGACCTTCAAGAAGAGCCTACTCCTTTTTAAAAAGTCGGCAACGCATTTGCAATTCCCCTGGTGTTGCAGTTGTTCATGAGCGGCGGTAATCACATACCATAAGGTGAGCCGTATGCGCGTTTGCCCCTCTCCTATAAAAAAAAACATTCATGCTGCAAAAATGTTATTAATCGGTCGTTTTTTCCGTTTATATTGCCAAAGACAAATCATAGACTTACATCTTCCTGTCAAACACATAATAATCGGTACTCGGTAGTCAAACAGTCACACAGAGCTATGAGTATAGTATAATCACTACGTTTTAGCATATATTATAGAGATTGTAGCCAAATAATTTTAAAATGTCTAAAAAATAATTACTATAATATTGACTGAATGGGCAGTGAATTTTGTGTGATTTAAAATGTGTCTTTTTTAATAGTATGTGTAGTGTAATGTCTAGGCAAAAAGCATTTATTTTATATTTTGTATATAAACATATATGTTTTAAATTTTTAATGTACATACCAAAGTGAAATACATCATGCTTAATATTAAAGAATTACGGTCGAATTTTGACCCCTGGGCGAACAAACACGTAGTTGGTTGACAAAACATCCAAAATAATAAGAATCAATAGTGCATAAAATTCCAAAATCACAATATATAAAAATAATATTTAGTTTGAATTTTTGATTATAACGAAAAAATTTAATAACTACGTTATTATATATCATAAAGATAAAATATTAGAAATAGTATACTTACATATTTTAGATAAAGTAAAATACTGGGTTTAGTCTTTTTTATATATACCTTATTTACATTTCCTGCTAAAATACTTAGTAGTAATCTATCTTATCATCTTACATGTTTATGTACTATTTCGGAATGTTGTTAATCCGTTTTTATCTAATTGCTCTTATGATTATCAAAAGCTAATCATAAAAGCAATTAGAAACAAACTTTATCCAATTCCCGAAAAAATTCCTTCAATTTATTTTCACATAAATTTCGAAGAAACAAATCATTTTTGCATTGTTTTTTTTTAAATAACTTCAAAAAATGAGGCTATATGGATATGTCTGTACGTTATAAGTATACGATGCTTACGTTTTTTTACCTTAATTGGAAGTTACAGAAGTTACGCAGTAGTCTTTGTAAAACATTTTTTTAAGTTTATTAGCTATGAATCGTAGACTTGACTAGACTGGCTATACTTTTGAGAAAGTCCGCGAACATTATATCAGTTTTTAAATTTGTTTTTAATTTAAAATTATTAGAAAACAATTTTTCACTCGTTACTTCAAATATAATTTCGTTTGTATGCTATAATATAACTGTGTGTGCCCTAAGTATGGTTGTGTGTTACCCAAGTGTGCTAAAGCAGATCCTCCCCCAAAAGGAGGGTCCCGTGTCCTGTAGGTAGAACTTTACGAGCTGGAGAATAAGAATAATCAAAAAATCTTGCAGGACTCGAAACATGGCGTCTCTCCGCAGATTTAAGGAAAAAACGAAAAATAAGAAAAAAAGAAAAGGATCAATTTTTCCACACACGCCGATTTTCACTCAAATGTAAGCTCAGTGGACTGACGAAGGCATAATGTTAATTGTTTTAATAATCGTTAGAAATATATTACAATATTCCTATAATATTTTTCGCCTTTCCACCATTACAGGAGTAAAGCACGCGACGTGAACCAGTTATTTTGTAAACAATTTATAGCATTAAATACTTTTGCGTAAACTCCAGCGTACCTGGGTTGTTTCCTGGGTTTCCATACTCTATTTTCTATTAATCAATTGTTGTTTATGTTTGGTCAAATAATCTTTTTCTTTCCATCAAATTTCTGTTACACTTACATTAGGATTGAACTACTCAATTATTGTCATTAAAATATAAAAGGGTTTAATTTTTTAGTTTCAAATAGTGTGTATTTATATTTAAAAAAAGATATAACGTAAATTTTTCTTGATATTACTTTATCAATAATTTAAAAAATATATATTAATTATAAAAATATATCAGTTTTTGCTAGTGATCACAATTTTTTTTGATGTGCGTATTCTTTTGTTTTGACACACACATTGCTTATACCATCCTTACAAATTGTCTAAGCTTAGGTTATTTAGTCAAGCTCTTATCATAATCATTTTTAATAATATTTATAAATCCCTATCTATCTTAAAACTATAAGATATACAATCTTATATTTTTAAGCTTCATCCGATGACAGACAAAGTAATTTCTGAGAACATGCTAGCCTACGGAGTAATTTACGTCAAATTCAAGCCTTAACACAAAGTTCAAGGAGAAAATCTTTATATAAGTTGCTATTTTATAGACAATTGCACTATTAATGGTTCAGTCTGTATGTGGTGTATAGTGCATGTGGAGAGTGGCGGGTTCTACCGAACATTAGCCAAGGCTTTTCATGGCGGTAAATCATGTGGTGGGGAATGGGGATATTATAAGTAAACAAGTAATTTGTACATTCGTTGTTGTTATATTTCCACTGGGATGGCAACCCTACGGCTAATAAACAGTCGCCTTTATCATTTATCATTCTATCTCATGACTGTATATATATATATATATATATATATATATATATATATATATATATATATATATAAATTCATTCGGGTTTTCTTTAAGGTTATAAAATAATCTTCTTTATCTGCTCCAAGATTAGTGTTATTTCATATTACTTGTATTTTAAATATGTACAAAGTTGTATCAACTAGTTTTTTCTTTTTACAGAAGGTCGACCCCGAGCTGATCTTCACGAAGCAAGAGAAGATCGGCAAGGGCTCCTTTGGTGAGGTTTTCAAGGGCGTCGACAACAGGACGCAACAGGTCGTTGCCATTAAGATCATTGATCTCGAAGAGGCTGAAGATGAGATTGAAGACATTCAGCAGGAGATCATGGTGCTGTCACAGTGTGACAGCCCTTACGTCACAAAATATTACGGATCATATTTGAAGGTAAGTTATGTCTGTTTTTCTAATTTCGCATAACGAATTTCAAGAAATGTTTTAAACATTATTTATAATATATAAAAACTATATAAAAGTTTAAATCCTTGAAACTGCATAAACTAGGCTCTGATGTGAGTTCATGCTTGAATATATAATATATACAAGCTAAAACTTTGAGAAATGTGTTACACCAATCAAATGTACATTACTCAAATATATTGACAGCTTACATCTGCATTGCTAGTGAACTGCGGATAGATCATGAAGTAATTCCCATCAGGCTTGCGCATAACAGGAGCCATCAATCATTTTACGAGTATGTGGAGCGGGCATTACGGGGTACGGGCCTTTTTCCGCAGGCTCGTTTTTGAGGATGAGTAGCATAATATGTAACATACATTACCGTCAATACCATTGCCTCTAAACACTTGGAATATTTGGATATTGTAGGTAAAAATAAATTTTGCTCTTCGTTTTTATACGTAGCTCGGCTGCTTATAATGTTTATAACAATCCATAGAAGTTTTTCCAATCACATACACAGGTTTAATAAAAAAGAACGATGTGAAATGGAAGGGAGGTTGAAATTTGTATTTTCCCTTAACCCAGCAATGTTTTCCCATCTATCGAATAACATTGCCGACTTGATTTCATCATCGTCGTTAATATTTTCCAAGCAGTTCTTTCTACATTATTAAGTTAATTTTAAACGTTTAGTATTCGCGTAAATATAAGAATGAATCATGATCGTGTTTCATCCGTTTAGTTTACCATAACACTTTCTGTAATTTATAGTTTCAGTCGTATTTCTTTTTTTTTAATAGAATAGGGGGCAAACGAGCATGCGGCTCACCTGATGTTAAGGGACTACCACCGTCCATGATCAACCGCAACACCAGGGGGATTGCAGGTGCGTTGCGGGCCCTTTAGAACGGAGTAAGCTCTTTTCTTGAAGGTCCCCAGATCGTATAGATCCGGAAAAATCGCCGGTGGTAAACTATTCCACAGAGAGGTTGTACGCGGAAGAAAATTCCTTTTGAAAGGTGGTGGACTGCCAAGCATCCAGATGGTGTGGATGGTATCGGGACGTTTACCGCGTAGTGCGTTCACGAAATTTGGCGTTAATTATTAATTAATTTCTAATTAGGTATTGATAATGGGGGGTTAACTTAATACCGTGCACTATTTAGTTAACCCCATGTTATGCAAAATAGTACTAACTTGATGAATTTTTATCACGAGTGTTGCATCTATTTTCGTTGCCAGAAGAACATTCACCCGATTACGATACGCGTTCGCGTGCACTATCGTGGCGACTAACAACTTTGCCGTCACGAAGACCTAAGGTCAGAACAAGACATAAAGACCGGTTTATTATGTTCAAAAGCGTATGAACTCTCACGAAATCTGGGACACAGTTTCACAAACGTAACCGTTGAAAGGCTAATTCATGATTGGATAAAATCTTTGTAGATTGGGAAGGTTGATTGCTATAGTTCCCTTATAGTCGTGCGGGCGTTGCATTAAATTGGCTTGTATTCGTTATTTAAATTTAAAAAAAAAAACGATCTTTCCGGACTCTTCCATTTAAATGCTTTAGTGAAGCGGGTGGTTCGGCGTCTCGTTGTAGTAAGTATAGTCATTCTATGCTCAATAGTCATTCTTGCGCTTAGTGCTTTGATCGATATTTGCATTTTTATTATTCTCCAACTTTCCCCCGCTGTATTACTTTGCCTGCCTTTCTTTGAAAGTACTATTCCAGCTTAAATAAAAATAGATTTATTGGCATATTTTAAAGTCCGTCATGGTTATTTTATAAATCCTTGCCGTTGTTGTTTTTGAAGTTCGTTGTTGCTACTGTTGTAGATATGGGGGGGGGGGGGGCACGGTTTGGTATTGAACTAGATATTGGGTTTGCGATGAACGTTACTAATAATATACATATTCACTTTCCGTTACAATTCATTTTTATGCGGTGTCAAAAGAGTTCCATGGCAGTTTCATAAAAAAGTTTATAACGTTAACTACTTTCAAATTTTTTATATTTTGATTGTTGAAGTCGGCTGCTAACTTTGATTTTGACACAGCCCTGTGTTATTGATTATATTTAAATTTGGAGCAACCCAAATAGAATGACATCTTTAACAACTTATATTAAATATTTCTAGGAAATGTAAGTACTAGAGCAGCGTGGTGAACCACATACTTGCTCCAAACCTGTGCTCAGTAGTAGGCTTAACGTTCATATACGTAACGCCTACGTACGTTCAGTTTTTCATGAGTTTGTAAATTGCTTCATTATGTAAAGTTATCCTCCAAATTTAGTACCTAATCAGCATTTTCGTAAAATATCTTTATGTAAAAGTCGTGCACTTGTCCACACATTTTTGCTACGTTTATCATTTTGTGTCGCAAGTGTAACATAAGATTCACCAAGTGAAAAAAATTGAGATATTAGTAGGAATTACCATTATTATTACATGGTATGTTATAAGTTTTCTAGAAAATTCCAAAACAGGCCTTAGTTGTATTTATCGTACATATATCTACTATAGATACTAGAGGGTAATATGGTCATCCGGTAATACGGTCACTTTCTTATAACTCAAAAACTACAGCCTTGTTTGCAAAGATGGCTTTGTGCACGGTAGCTCTTCATCCGTTAATCAAATAATAAACGGTGAAAGGAGCGCTGCTTTATCGACGCCATTGACAGTTGATATTATAGTAAATATTTTAGTTGATTTTGGTATGGTGTAGTGTAGTTAGTTGTTTAAGTAGATATTGTGAAGCGTTCTTAATTATTGCCAAACCCTGCTCGCAACTTTTTTCTTAATATATTAGTTATAGTATACGACTTTGTGTTTTTGTCTCTGTCCTTCTCCTGGTTATGGTTTTGTAGGGCGATGAAGCTTAAGGTGACCATATTACCGCTCACACACCTTAGGCCTTTCGTGCGTATTGCAGTAAAATGTATTAGGTCTTATTAATAATTTAGAATTTTCAATCAAATGTAATGCAAAAGGCTTGGACTTTCCACTCGTCTTAAGAACTTTAGTAATGTGAATAACAATGTAAATATAACTTTTGAAATATAAATAACAATTTAAGTAAATACAGTGTTTAAAAATTTGGTTAATGTAATAATTTCTCATCTGGGTGTAGTTTGTAATGCCTTATTACTGAAGACGGACCGATCAATGGCCATAATGCTAACTAATAGAGTTTGCAATCTTTTTTGCAACAAATTTATATCTAAATTAAAGAATGATTCATTAAAAATATATTTGAATACTTTTTTTTAATTAACAATTCCAGTTTTTTAGCAATGATTAACAAAAATTTGTTATTTTTTTGAATGAAAAAAAAAACTACTTGTTATTGGTTATGACCGTTCAGACTGTGAGCCAATCGCAATAATGCTATACTTTTGTATTTTCTATATTCGGATCTCCATATGTTATAACTTATAATAAAACTTAAGTAACCTGTATTATGCAATAACAATTTTTTAATTTTGACAACGTAAACATGAGTGTTTTATCATTTCACCATGCGGTGGTGCTACTAAAGCGATATAATGATGTCACTGGCGTTTGAATTTACTTTAGAAAAACCATTTTGAATTGTAAAATTACATGAAAAATCAGTTGCAATTTTTTTTATTTTTCTTAATAATGTAATGTAATGTAATTTGCTTGTAAACTCAAAAAAAAACATACAACTTCTCTGTCAAAAATGCCAAACAGGGAGCTTACTACGAGTACCACCGCATTATTTACCAGTGCATAACCCACCTAGGTTAGTTGGTGCAGAGCCTAGACCAGCATTATGTTCAAATATGTTTATCTTCCTATGTCCAGCAGTGGATTAATAAAGGATATTAAAGAAAAGAGGGAAATAAAAGTTACGATACCGTTTTCATTTTTTATATTTTTTTAGTTTCAATTTAAAGTATAATCAAAAGCTTTCAATTAGAGGTTAATCCTGAGATGTACAACATTACTTGTTTTGAACACGTCCACGCACGCACGCGCTGTAAGTAGCGATGCGAATGATGTTGACTGCGCAACTGTACACTGTACCTTCACTTTTAGTCCGTTATAAAGTATTTGCGATAGAAGGAAGAGCCAGATAGTGCAATGGGTTTTGATGTGTTGTTGCATTTCTCGCTTTGTGGGCCGCGTCGACTGCGCGCTATTGCAATCTTGACATAGTTTCGAATGTTGTTATGCGCACCTTGCAAAACAACGCAATCAAAACGAGTTACCACTTGAACACTACACAATACACAATTTATGTTGGAAACTATTTTTAATTAATAGTATATTTGTTAGTTTTTTTTTTCTAAAATTTGTTAAATTTTTGTTGCGTAGTGAGTACAACAAAATAAATGAATTCGCAGTTTGATATATTTCTATGAAGGATTACGAGTGCTTAAAAATTAATTTGTTTCAGGTATTTTCTTCATTGTAAGGATATTGTTCCTTAAATGTTACTGAGATGTAAACACACACGCAGAACACGAATTGTCACTTAAAATTTCCCACGGTCACGTACTTGGTCAAGTAGCTCAAAAGTCTCGATTTGCATAAACACCAAACACGCAATGGATATATGAAAGTTGTTTATACTCGTGCGAGTTATGAAAGGGAAGACCATAAAGCTTTTGTGAATCTGATGTTACACAACGTCTGTTTTCATGTTGTTTACCTTTACATTACACAGGTCTTTCCTTACCTTGTATAGAACACGTTGATTTTTATTTATTTTAAACATAAATACAATTAATATTAGTTTAGGTTATAGCCTGAAAAATATTAAGTCAGTAGGTTTAGAATGTTTGTGTCTGTTACGTGTTATAATTAATTTGTGAATATTTGAAATACCTTTCTTAGTGAAGCACGGACAACGCGAAAGGTCACGCAACTCATCTATAATATGTGACCGTGAGACCATGAAACTTCCTGACTGTATGAATGACCACGCCATATGCCTTTGAATAA